AAAATGTACAAATAATCGAACTTGTTTGTAAATGATAGACATCTTAGTAAGTAGGCTATTATTACTAAAGCATAATTTCAGGTGAACAAAAAAATCCATACCAGAGGTGGCCAACCTTGCTCCACTCCCTGATCTACTGGGTGAGCAGGCTTCTATTCCAGCCCAGCAATAATACACATTATCATCTCATTAGGTTTGATAAGTTGAATCAGGTGTGTTAGTGCTGAGCTGGAACAGAAGCCTGCACACCCAGCATACCTCAAGGAGAAGGATTTGCCTGCTACAGCTCTAATACGTTTGTAGCCTACATTGTGTGTGACTTTTAACTGTATTGTTATATACAACATTTGCTAACATAAGCATACATACAACCCATGGCATACAAGAATGTGCCAGCTGTCTCTTGGGACATTCACTGGGACTTCTTCATCTGCAGACAGGCTTTCGCCGCTCTCCATATCTGAGAACAGACATCACAAAGAAAGACAGCCCTGACTATCATCTCTCTGTCGGTCTTCATAGTTTTCCTCTCTAGGGACTAAAACTGGAGAATATTTGCATAATGTCATCCCACAACCTGCCCAATCTAGCTAGTGCAGCTACTCCCTTTTCTGACAGCTTTTGCAGAAAATCCTCTCACCCTCTTCCATTGCTGTTATCTACCAATGCATTTGGAGCATGAGGTTTTTAATTTACAATGATAAATAGGCCTACATCAAGATAATGAGCTAATGTTAACTAGCTGTAGTATGTAAAGTTGGCTGGCTAGCTAGTTAGGTGGCTAGCTAACAAGCAGCTCATTAGCCTACACACATTAGCCTGCTGTAGCTAGCTAGCTAATATTACATAGAATTGTAAAAATAAATAATGTGCATGTATTTACTTACTTACTTGAATAGGTTCACGCCTACGCCCACGAAGCCGCCAATCTTTTGGAGCGAAGAGTTGTCAAGCAGAGGCACTTATTGAATAGGGACCTTTGCCAAATCAAATCAAATCCATTTTTATTTGCCACATGCGCCGAATACAACAGGTGTAGACATTACCGTGAAATGCTTACTTACATCCCTTAACCAACAATGCATTTATTTTTAATAAAGAAGTAAAATAAAACAACCACAACAAAAAAGTGTTGAGAAAGAAAGAGCAGAAGTAAAATAAAATAACAGTAGTACCGGCTAGTTGAGGTAATATGTACATGTGGGTAGAGTTAAAGTGACTATGCATAAATAATTAACAGAGTAGCAGCAGCGTAAAAATATGGGGTGGGGGTGGGACAGTGCAAATAGTCCGGGTAGCCATGATTAGCTGTTCAGGAGTCTTATTGCTTGGGGGTAGAAGTTGTTGAGAAGCTTTTTTGACCTAGACTTGGCGCTCCGGTAACACTTGCCGTGCGGTAGCAGAAAGAACAGTCTATGACTAAGGTGGCTGGAGTCTTTGACAATTTTGAGGGCCTTCCTCTGACACCACCTGGTATAGAGGTCCTGGATGGCAGGAAGCTTGGCCCCAGTGATGTACTGGGCCGTACGCACTACCCTCTGTAGTGCCTTGCGGTCAGAGGCCGAGCAGTTGCCATACCAGGCGGTGATGCAACCAGTCAGGATGCTCTCGATGGTGCAGCTGTAGAACTTTTTGAGGATCTGAGGACCCATGCCAAATCTTTTCAGTCTCCTGAGGGGGTATAGGCTTTGTCGTGCCCCCTTCACGACTGTCTTGGTGTGTTTGGACCATGATAGTTTGTTGGTGATGTGGACACCAAGGAACTTGAAGCTCTCAACCTACTCCACTACAGCCCCCTGCCCTCCTGTAGTCCACAATCATCTTCTTTGTCTTGGTCACGTTGAGGGAGAGGTTGTTATCCTGGCACCACATGGCCAGGTCTCTGACCTCCTCCCTATAGGCTGTCTCATCGTTGTCGGTGATCAGGCCTACCACTGTTGTGTCGTCGGCAAACTTAATGATGGTGTTGGAGTCGTGCCTGGCCATGCAGTCATGGGTAAACAGGGAATACAGGACGGGACTGAGCACAAACTCCTGAGGGGCCCCTGTGTTGAGGATCAGCGTGGCAGATGTGTTGTTACCTACCCTTACCACCTGGGGGTGGCCCGTCAGGAAGTCCAAGATCCAGTTGCAGAGGGAGGTGTTTAGTCCCAGGATCCTTAGCCAGAATAGATAACTCGGATATAAGCATTCAATCTGGTTACATTAACAATCTCCGTAAGATTATAGGTATTGCATAGATTCTTGAGTTGATCAGAGTTGGATGTCCACCAGTCTAGGTTCAGGTCACCTATTAGCACAAATTCAGATTTGACATTCTGTGATAATAATTCTAAAATACAATCCAGAGAGCCAGCAATAGCAGATGGGGGTAATAGGCGAACAAGATTTAAGGATGCACTAGGATTTAAATTCAAAGCTAGATATTCAAATTGCTTGGGTTTGGTAAAAAAAAGTCAGAATGGTCGCAGAAAACGTGTATTTTATGTGTACAGTGAGGGAAAAAAGTATTTGATCCCTTGCTGATTTTGTACGTTTGCCCACTGACAAAGACATGATCAGTCTATAATTTTAATGGTAGGTTTATTTGAACAGTGAGAGACAGAATAACAACAACAAAATCCAGAAAAACGCATGTCAAAAATGTTTTTAATTGATTTGCATTTTAATGAGGGAAATAAGTATTTGACCCCTCTGCAAAACATGACTTAGTACTTGGTGGCAAAACCCTTGTTGGCAATCACAGAGGTCAGACGTTTCTTGTAGTTGGCCACCAGGTTTGCACACATCTCAGGAGGGATTTTGTCCCACTCCTCTTTGCAGATCTTCTCCAAGTCATTAAGGTTTCGAGACTGACGTTTGGCAACTCAAACCTTCAGCTCCCTCCACAGATTTTCTATGGGATTAAGGTCTGGAGACTGGCTAGGCCACTCCAGGACCTTTAATGTGCTTCTTCTTGAGCCACTCCTTTGTTGCCTTGGCCGTGTGACCACAACACTTTCACCCAGTTCTCCTCTGAATCATTCAGATGTTCATTGGCAAACTTCAGACAGGCCTGTATATGTGCTTTCTTGAGCAGGGGTACCTTGCGGGCGCTGCAGGATTTCAGTCCTTCACGGCGTTGTGTGTTACCAATTGTTTTCTTGGTGACTATGGTACCAGCTGCCTTGAGATCGTTGACAAGATCCTCCCGTGTAGTTCTGGGCTGATTCCTCACCGTTCTCATGATCATTGCAACTCCACGAGGTGAGATCTTGCGTGGAACCCCAGGCCGAGGGAGATTGACCGTTCTTTTGTGTTTCTTCCATTTGCGAATAATCGCACCAACTGTTGTCACCTTCTCACCAAGCTGCTTGGCGATGGTCTTGTAGCCCATTCCAGCCGTGTGTAGGTCTACAATCTTGTCCCTGACATCCTTGGAGAGCTCTTTGGTCTTGGCCATGGTGGAGAGTTGGGAATCTGATTGATTGGTTGCTTCTGTGGACAGGTGTCTTTTTATACAGGTAACAAGCTGAGATTAGGAGCACTCCCTTTAAGAGTGTGCTCCTAATCTCAGCTCGTTACCTGTATAAAAGACACCTGTGAGCCAGAAATCTTTCTGATTGAGAAGGGGTCAAATACTTATTTCCCTCATTAAAATGCAAATCAATTTATAACATTTTTGACATGCGTTTTTCTGGATTTTGTTGTTGTTATTCTGTCTCTCACTGTTCAAATTAACCTACCATTAAAATTATAGACTGATCATTTCTTTGTCAGTGGGCAAACGTACAAAATCAGCAGGGGATCAAATACTTTTTTCCCTCACTGTATATAGATTTGCAATCTGACCGGAAAACATTGTAACCATCAATGCCAATGTTTTTGTCAGTGATAGATTTTTTTGAGCCAGGTTTCAGAAAGCATAAATACATCTGGGTCTGCTGTTTTTATCCAAATATTCACAAAATCATGTTTCGGAAGAAGACTTCTTACATTTATGTGCAGAAATAGAAATGTCAGGACCTGGGTTAAATTGCACATTTCCTGACAGTAAAAGCAGCAAAATAATGGTGCGATACACGCTGTCTGCCATCTGCCTGGTACAGTTGAAACCAGGATTCATCCCTGAAGAGCACACTTCTCCAGCGTGCCAGTGGCCATCGAACGTGAGCATTTGGTTACGATGCCGAACTGCAGTCAGGTTAATACTCTGGTGAGGATGACAAGCACGCAGATGAGCTTCCATGAGACGGTTTCTGACAGTTTGTGTAGAAATTCTTCGGTTGTGCAAACCCACAGTTTCATCAGCTTTCCGGGTGGCTGGTCTCAGACGATCCCTCCGATGAAGAAGCTGGATGTGGAGGTCCTGGGCTGGCGTGTTTACACGTGGTTGTGAGGCTGGTTGGACGTACTGCCAAATTCTCTAAAACGATGTTTGAGGCAGCTTATTGTAGAAAAATTTACATTAAATTATCTGGCAACAGCTAAGGTGGACATTCCTGTAGTCATCAATGCCACATGTCTCAACTTGAGATGTGGCGTTGTGTGACAAAACTGCACATGTTAGAGTGGCCTTTTATTTTCCCCAGCACAAGGTGCACCTGTGTAATGATCATGCTGTTTAATCAGCTTCTTGACATGCCACACCTGTCAGGTGGATGGATTATCTTGGCAAAGGAGAAATGCTCGCTAACAGGGATGTAAACAAATTTGTGCACATAATTTGCGAGAAATAAGCTTTTTGTGCGGTATGGACATTTTCTGGGATCTTATTTCAGCTCATGAAACATGGGACTAACACTTTACATGTTGCATTTTATATTTTTGTTCAGTATAATTTTATTGGAAGTTCGTATGTCTCAATTTCTCTGATTTCTCCCAACTATTGAGAATTAATTTTACTGATGAGTAAATCTTCATGATTAGCATCATTAGCGATCAGTCTGCTTGGGATCAAGATGCTATAAGGTCACTGATAAATTCTATCTTGACCTCCATTCTAACCTCTGACCCCTAGGGACCTGTCCTTCATCCAGGTCATCAACGTGGGCCGGAGCTTCCTGGTCAACAGGGTGCAGGACTACATCCAGAGCAAGATCGTGTACTACCTCATGAACATCCACGTGCACTCTCACTCCCTCTACCTGTGTCGACACGGAGAGAGCGACCACAACGTGGAGGGACGCATCGGGGGCGACGCAATGCTGTCTGTTCAAGGGAAAAAGGTACCCGACTTCTCCTTTTAAGTATATCAATACAAGTACAGTACCATTGCACAACCTCTTGCTATGTTGCTCTGTATTCTATGTACACTGAGTGTACAAAACATTAAGAACATCTGCTCTTTCCATGACAGACTGACCAGGTGAATCTAGGTGAAAGCTATGATCCCTTATTGATGTCACCTGTTAAATCCACTTTGATCAATGTAGATGAAGGGGAGGAGGCAGGTTAAATAAGTATTTTTAAGCCTTGAGACAATTGAGACATGGATTGTGTATGTGTGCCATTCAGAGGGTGAATGGGCAAGACAAAATACTTAAGTGCCTTTGAACGGGGTATGGTAGAAGGTGCCAGGCACACTGGTTTGTTTCAAGAACTGCAGCGCTGCTGGGTTTCTCACACTCAACAGTTTCCCGTGTGTATCAAGAATGGTCCACCACCCAAAGGACATCCAGCCAACTTGTGGGAAGCATTGGAGTCAACATGGGCCAGCATCCCTGTGGAACGCTTTCGACACCTTAAAGAGTCCATGCCCCGACAAATTGAGGCTATTCTGAAGCAAAAGGGGGTGCAATATTAGGAAGGTGTTCTTAAATCACTTAATCACTGTATGACATCATCTCTCTCTTACATACACAATTAAACCATTAAACCTACTATGTCTATTCTAATCCTCTCTCAGTTTGCTGGAGCGCTAAAGGGTTTTGTGGAGGAGCATGGTCTGTCAGACCTAAAGGTGTGGACCAGCCAGCTGAGGCGGACCATCCAGACTGCTGAGGAGCTCGGGGTGCCCTACGAGCAGTGGAAGATACTCAACGAGATTGATGCCGTCAGTACCACAGTGCACTAGTGACCCATAGACAAAACATGGTAGTGGTTACATTGTTAAATAATGATTGTCTTTTAAAATGACATATTTCTGTGTCTCTCAGGGTGTGTGTGAGGAGATGACCTATGAGTTAATTGAGGAAACCTACCCTGAGGAGTTTTCCCTGAGAGACCAGGACAAGTACCACTACCGCTACCCAGGAGGAGAGGTAATTCTTCCTTTCTTCTCTACAGAGATCTGGCCTATTCATCTGAATCATTGAGCTCAGTTTGTCCCTCTCCTCTCTCCATAGTCCTACCAGGACCTAGTGCAGAGGTTAGAGCCGGTCATCATGGAGCTGGAGAGACAAGGCAACGTGCTGGTCATCTGCCACCAGGCTGTCATGCGATGCCTGCTTGCTTACTTCCTGGATAAGAGTGCAGGTACAAACACACAAATTCACTTCTATAAATAGATATGGAGATGCACAGATGGACACACAGCCCTGTGTTAGGAAACTCATTTACTTTGGCTAGGATACAAACACACACCTCTTAGCTTACTTATGCTTATTTTGAGTAGAAAAACACTTGCTCATGTTCATCCTGGATGAAACGGGACAGAAATAAAAGTTGAGGCTAAACAATGTCACATTGCCCTCTTAAAAGGTCTGCCAAGTCAGGAGCAAAAGTGGTTTGTGCCTAAAATAGCATTTTAAAGGCTAGTAAAGCCACAGTCTGCCACAGCTCGCCCACACTGTGACTGGGAAGTGGGCACTTCTGGCTGTCACTGCCCGATCCCAGATGTCATGAAAGGGAAGTAATGCAATCTATTGAGTAAAGATATAATCTAATCTAAATATAATCCCTGAAAAATAAATATGTATCATTAACTGTGTTGTGTGTCATTTAACTGCATAAGATTGAGTTTTCTTGAGATGATTCATAGATCTCACGTGTAATGTTCCAAGTGAAGTCATTGTGTCATTTTTGTTTCTGTTGGCACAGATGACCTGCCCTTCTTGAAGTGTCCCCTCCACACGGTTCTAAAGCTCACCCCTGTGGCTTATGGTAGGATATCTCATCCAAGACTACCCTGTCTCAGACACAACATATTTCTCTCTCCTCCCGCTCTCAGGTTAACATTGACTGTTATTCTCTCCATCTCTCGGCCAGGTTGTAAAGTGGACATGTTTGACCTGAAAGTGAAGGCTGTGAACACTCACCGGGATAGGCCATTAGTGAGTTGCTCTCCTTGTCATATCTCTATTCAATCTACTGTGTGTAGGTTTATTTCCTGTATCATTGAATATCCCTTTGAGCATGGTGAAGTTAATAATTACACTTTGGATGGTTTATCAATACACTCAATCACTACAAAGATACAGGCTTCCTTCCTAACTCAGTTGCCGGAGGGGAAGGAAACCGCTCAGGGATTTCACCATGAGGCCAATGGTAACTTTCTTGGCTCTAAAAATTATGGTGGATCAACAACATAGTAGGTACTCCACAATCCTAACCTAATTGACAGAGTGAAAAGAACGAAGCCTGTACAGAATACAAATATTCCTAAACATGAATCCTGTTTGCAACAAGGCACTAAAGTAATACTGCAAAAAATGTAGCAAAGCAATTCACTCCTTGTCCTGAATACAACGTGTTATGTTTGGGGCAAATCCAAAAACAAATTACTGAGTACCACTCTCCATATTTTCAAGCGTAGTGGTGGCTGCATCATGTTATGGGTATGCTTGTAATCATTAAGGACTGGAGAGTTTCAGGATAAAAAAAAAAAGAAACGGAATGGAGCTAAGCACAGGCAAAATCCTAGAGGAAAACCTGGTTTAGTGCGCTTTCCACCAGAAACTGGGAGATGATTTCACCTTTCAGCAGGACAATAACCTAAAACATCTACACTGGAGCTGCTTACCAAAAAAACTGTGAATGTTCCTGAGTGGCCAAGTTACAGTTTTGACTTAAATCTACTTGAAAATCTATAGCAAGATCTGAAAATGGTTGTCTAGCAATGATCAACAACCAATTTGACAGAGCTTAAAGAGTTTTGAAAAGAAAAATGGGCAAATGTTGCACAATCCAGGTGTGGAAAGCTCTTACAGACTTAACCAGAAAGACTTACAGCTGTAATCGCTGCCAAAGGTGCTTCGACAAAGTATTGACTCGGGTGTGAATACTTATGTAAATGAGATATTTCTGTATTTAATTTTCTATAAATTTGCTAAAAATGTCTAAAAACATATTTTCACTTTGTCATTATGGGGTTTTGTGTGTAGATTGGTGAGAGAAAACATATATTTAATCCATTTTGAATTCCGGCTGTAAGACAACAAAATGTGGAATAAGTCAAGGGGTATGAATACTTTCTGAAGGCACTGTAGTTCTGGTGTGAACAGACCACAGTGTCTCAGTGTGTTAACCAGATGTCCCTGGTGGTGTGGACGTCACACTCATAAACATGACCACACTGCCTTTTCCTGAGCATAGCCCTGTTAAATGGAGGAAGAATAACATGTCTGGGAAAGGAACCGCAACAGCGCCTTCAATCTTCTGTTTGTTCCAGCAGGATTGTTTTCACAAGAAGTGTAGCAAGCAAGACACACACATACACACACACAGTGAAACACAATTTATTTCTCTCAGATTCAGATTCTCCTTCTCTTTCCTCCATCCTCTCTAACCAGGCGAAAGTCCGTAATGACGTCGATCCCACCACATTCCTCCGAAGGAACAGTTTCACCCCGCTGTCCAGTCACGACCAGGTGAAGCGACCGCGCCTCTACAGCGCTGGCAACCCACCTCAATCTCGACGCCCCCTGGCCCCCTTTCTACCCAGCATGCAGTCCTTCGAGGACCCTGAGGGAGCAGAGTTTGCACAAAGCCAAGTTAGTGTTGTCTTTCTGTATGAATGTCTCTCTCTCTTTAAATATGTTTATGATGTTACTTATGTCCTTAAACTGAGACTCAGTGAAATGACGTTGCCACGAGCAGTAGGATGAACCACAGATATTGCAGGTAAGCACAATGCAAGACGATGTACTCAGATTATCTGCGTGTGTGCACGGGTGCGCTTCACGCTGCTGCAAGGTGATCGCTCCAGGACCAAAACCGGTTTGCCTCACGCTTCACAGTTTTAGCTGTTGCGGAATCGACCCGATTCTGCTGTTTACTATGTGTGTCACTGACTCTACCTTGTAACCCTAAAAGCACCAACATATTTTTTTGCTTAAAAGCGCCAATGGGGGTTATTATTATTGACCTCAAATTGGTAATGATTGCAAAGAGACACTGTCTGTCAAGCAGTAAAACATTTAAATTCCCCCAAATAACCAGATTTTTTGTAAAGTTTAGGGTGACCACATTTTAAAATACCCAAATGCGGGACAACAGGATGAATTCGCGGGACAGTGTAGCCTACATGAGTACAAAATGTTGGCAGCATTCTTCACATTTTACAGATGAAACGTCCAAACTGCACCTGCATGCCAATCATTTGATCTTCAATTACTTTTTTGTGAGCAAATTAGAGAAGATGGTGTTAACAAACTATATAGCTTTCCTGTATTTAGTTTCAATACAAGCAAATTCTGCGTAGTGGCGCGCACGTTTGTATTTTATCTGCATTAGATTATTTTTTTTGTCTATTCAGCTAACCATCCTAAAACAGTAACATTTATACTATGCTATTATATTTGGTTATGTTATGTAGAATACTAATCAATCATTATGTGATCTTCCAAGACACTGGCCATATCTGAATACCCATATTTGGATCCCCATTAGCTTTTGCAGAAGCAGCAGCTACTCTTCCTGGGTTCCCCAAAAAACACATAACATGACAAGTAACAAAACACTGATAGACTGATCGACAAGGACAGTATATGGCTGTTTTATGAAAATCTGGGTAAATTCGGCCAAGGAAACCTTTCTGGTTGGTCTCAGGGAATGTAAAACAGTTAGGAAGGCAGACTTTTAAAACTGATTGAGTGAAGTACCAGCAAATATGTTAAATGAGCAACTAATGAGCATGGAGAGCCTCACAAGTTAGATAAAATGACCTTGTATATTTCAGTCTAATACGGCTATTTACTTACAAAAAGAGTGCTTCTGACGATGAAATACAAAAGTAAGTAGTTAGGCACCTGTCCTCTCTAAGTTTAGCTCGGATGTTGACCAGAAAGGATTTGAGAAATGTGTTCGGTTGACAGTAGGCCTATGTCTCATCTTGCGCTGTGCAGAATTTGAGATCTCAGCAACGATTGGAGAAGTGTTTAACATCTCCAGTACCACATCCTTATTTTATATATTTTTTCATAAGCGCAACATGACTGTAAGAGACAGGTTGGAATGTCTGACTGAAATACGGGACAAATCAACCTTTTTGTCTAAATTAGTGGTATTTGAATTTGTTGATAAAATTCGGGACATGATTGTTTGGTTGGGGGACGTGGAACAAAGGGCCAAAATGCGGGACTGTCCCACACAATCCACCCAAGTCAAGTTTGATGTTTCAAAATAGACGTTTGAACCGATATTTTGATCAATTTCATCCATAACCACATGTTATGAACATTTGTCTGTTTTATTCATTAAAAGTGTTGTGTTTCTGTGATACCTGGAAGGTAAGAAATTGGCGATTGAGCTAACCTCACATAGCGGTACGAGCTAAGATGGCCACCAATTGGGCGCCGGTGCTATCAGACTTTTAACTCTACAGTGCATTCGGAAAGTATTCAGACCCCTTGAATTTTTCCACATTTTGTTACGTTGGTTACAGCCTTATTCTAAAATGGATTAAGTAAATGTTTTTCCTCATCAATCTACACACAATACCCCATAATGACAAAGTGAAAAGTTTGTTTATGACAAGTGCCTGGATTAGGACCTGTGCCGCTTCCTGTGTAAGGCAGGGTCGTACTCTCCGAATGTTGTAGAGCATGAACCTGCAGGATCGGGTCACCGCCTTGATGTTAGCGGAGAACGACAGGGTGTTGTCCAGGGTCACGCCAAGGCTCTTCGCACTCTGGGAGGAGGACACAACGGAGTTGTCAACCGTGATGGCGAGATCATGGAACGGGCAGTCCTTCCCCGGGAGGAAGAGCAGCTCCGTCTTGCCAGGGTTCAGCTTGAGGTGGTGATCCGTCATCCATACTGATATGTCTGCCAGATTCGCCACCTGGTTATCAGAAGGGGGAAAGGAGAAGATTAGTTGTGTGTCGTCTGCGTAGCAATGATGGAAGGGGCCATGTGAGGATATGACAGAGCCAAGTGACTTGGTGTATAGCGAGAATAGGAGAGGGCCTAGAACTGAGCCCTGGGGGACACCAGTGGTGAGAGCACGTGGTGCGGAGACAGATTCTCGCCACGCCACTTGGTAGGAGCGACCGGTCAGGTAGGACGCAATCCAAGAGTGAGCCGTGCCGGAGATGCCCAACTCGGAGAGGGTGGAGAGGAGGATCTGATGGTTCACAGTATCAAAGGCAGCAGACAGGTCTAGAAGGACAAGAGCAGAGGAGAGAGAGTTAGCTTTAGCAGTGCGGAGAGCCTCCGTGACACAGAGAAGAGCAGTCTCAGTTGAATGACCAGTCTTGAAACCTGACCGGTTTGGATCAAGAAGGTCATTCTGAGAGAGATAGCAAGAGAGTTGGCTAAAGACGGCACGCTCAAGAGTTTTGGAGAGAAAAGAAAGAAGGGATACTGGTCTGTAGTTGTTGACATCAGAGGGAACAAGTGTTGGTTTTTTGAGAAGGGGTGCAACTCTCGCTCTCTTGAAGACGAAAGGGACATAGCCAGCGGTCAAGGATAAGTTGATGAGCAAGGTGAGGTAAGGGAGAAGGTCACCAGAGATGGTCTGGAGAAGAGAGGAGGGGATAGGGTCAAGCGGGCAGGTTGTTGGGCGGCCGGCCGCCACAAGTCGCAAGATTTCATCTGGAGAGAGAAGGGAGAAAGAAGTCAAAGCATAGGGTAGGGCAGTGTGAGCAGGACCAGCAGTGTCATTGGACTTAACGAGGATCGGATGTCGTCAACCTTCTTTTCAAAATGGTTGACGAAGTCATCCACAGAGAGGGGGGAGAGAAGGTGGCAAAGAGCTTCCTAGGGTTAGAGGCAGATGCTTGTAATTTAGAGTGGTAGAAAGTGGCTTTAGCAGCAGAAACAGATGAAGAAAATGTAGAGAGGAGGGAGTGAAAAGATGCCAGGTCCGCAGGGAGTCTAGTTTTCCTCCATTTCCGCTCGGCTGCCCGGAGCCCTGTTCTGTGAGCTCGCAATGAGTCGTCAAGCCACGGAGCAGGAGGGGAGGACCGAGCCGGCCGGGAGGATAGGGGACATAGAGAGTCAAAGGATGCAGAAAGGGAGGAGAGGAGGGTTGAGGAGGCATAATCAGGAGATTGGAGGGAGAAGGATTGAGCAGAGGGAAGAGATGATAGGATGGAAGAGGAGAGAGTAGCGGGAGAGAGAGAGCGAAGGTTGCGACGGCGCTTTACCATCTGAGTAGGGGCAGAGTGAGTAGTGTTGGAGGAGAGCGAGAGAGAAAAGGATACAAAGTAGTGGTTGGAGACATGGAGGGGAGTTGCAGTGAGATTAGTAGAAGAACAGCATCTAGTAAAGATGAGGTCAAGCGTATTGCCTGCCTTGTGAGTAGGGGGGGACGGTGAGAGGGTGAGGTCAAAAGAGGAGAGGAGTGGAAAGAAGGAGGCAGAGAGAAATGAGTCAAAGGTAGACGTAGGGAGGTTGAAGTCACCCAGAACTGTGAGGGGTGAGCGATCCTCAGGAAAGGAACTTATCAAGGCGTCAAGCTCATTGATGAACTCTCCAAGGGAACCTGGAGGGCGATAAATGACAAGGATGTTAAGCTTGAAAGGGCTAGTGACTCTGACAGCATGGAATTCAAATGAGGAGATAGACAGGGAAAAATTGAGAATGTCCACTTGGGATGTATGAGGATTCCTGTGCCACCACCCCGCTGACCAGATGCTCTCGGGGTATGCGAGAACACATGGTCAGATGAGGAGAGAGCAGTAGGAGTAGCAGTGTTTTCAGTGGTAATCCATGTTTCCGTCAGCGCCAAGAAGTCGAGGGACTGGAGGGTAGCATAGGCTGAGATGAACTCAACGCAGAACGGCAGTTCCAGAGGCTGCCGGAGACCTGGAACTCCACGTGGGTCGTGCGTGCAGGGACCACCAGGTTAGAGAGGCAGCAGCTACGCGGTGTGAGGCGTTTGTATAGCCTGTGCGGAGAGGAGAGAACAGGGATAGACAGAGGCATAGTTGACAGGCTACAGAAAATGGCTACAATAATGCAAAGAAGATCGGAATGAAATGAACTAAACATCTGGGAAAGCGAGAGAGCGGGGCCTCCCTCACTTACGTTTCACTGAAACGCCCAAATATAACTCTCCTAACTTCCACCTCAGAAACTATAATTGTTGTAAACTACAGCGGTTCAATGTTTTCTAGGAATAGACTAGCTTAGTTTATTCAGCTAGCTAACTTGGTACAGTATTCTTCCGTGAAAACCGTCCAGGGCACCTAGTCATATGACGCCACAGCCAACTAGCATGACGGACTCCAACAACACGGTTTAGCACCAATACTTGGCCACAACAAAACACCAGTGTGTCAACACGCCAAGCAGATCATTAGTGTCCGTGTCTAACGTTGTGGGCTAGTCCGGACAGCTTGAGCGAGTCCGTCGTCAACTTATTCAGCCAGTTAGTTAGCTAGAATAGTTAGCATACTAGCTAGCCATTGCTTTCTGCCAGCGAAGAAACCCATCCTCCCACGGCACGAACACACAGAGCGAGCCAAGCTAACGTTAACTAGTCACCCATGTCCCGAATTCCCTTGAACGACTCTGGCTACCAGTATGTAAAAAACTAAACACA